TTGATAATTCTTAAATCTTAAACTAATCCTCCTTTTTTTTTACTGTTTTCAATATTAAAGCCTTGCCATAAGTAACGCACTGTAAACTTGGTTTATCAAGATCTAAAGCCTAGAGTTTACTGTCACAAGTTATTTCTGAGTGTTTTATTTTTATAAATCTTGATGGACGCGCAGTGATTCTTGTTAATAATTTAGCTCATAAAGTTCTGATTGCTAAYCTTAATTTGTACATAGTTGGTTTATTTTGTTCTGTAAATAAATATCATTTATTTTAGAAAATTGAACCAACTGAAGTGGCAAATTATTGTGTCWGGGTATTTCTCACTTTACCACAGAGAGATATTTATCTTTCTAGAAAAAGAACCAGTGTTCCTCATTATTTATGAGAAGTGTTTTAAGACTTGAGTGTCTCTTACAAAGGTAATAAAACACTAACTAAATCTAGCAAAACTAATGCTGAAGATTATTCTTATTGTGTTTATTTGATAGGGACAGACACAATAACATTAACAACATCGACAAAAACATAATTTTCTTAGTATTAAGGATTAAGCAGGAGTCATATAGCCATGCTTTTATTTTCTGCACATTGTTGTTCAATTTTTCACCGACTGCGACACAACCTTTACCCAACACGTGAATGACAGTGATATTAGAATGCATTTGAAAATTAACTTCAGGACAAATTTCAGGAAGACTATTAATTTACAGGCTGAAAAGGATGGGACCTAAAACTATTCCTTGCGGAATTCCAGTTTCAGATAATAATAGCAAAACAGATGCTAAAATTAAACATAAGTAACATCTATAAAATAGGTGCTAAATCTAAAAGAAGCAGAACAGTAAAGCTAAATGTAGCAAAACAGTATCTAAAAACTAAAAGCAGAGCACTAGCTAAAAGCTAAACACAATAGAGTGGTACCTGCATGCTAAAAGTGGCAAGGCAGTAGCCAAAAGTAGCACAGACGTCAAAAAAAGATCAGCTATGCTGAAGAAAATATTATATTTAATGTTTTTAAAGGAACTGAACAGATCCTGATGTATTTCTAGGGGATGTTTTACATTAAATAAAATAAATATTTGGAAAAGTATACAAAGTTACAAAAAACATAAGTCAGATCCTACAGCAGGGCTCTAGAGTGCGACCAATTTGGTAGCAAATGCGACCTGATTTCCTAATAGTGCGAATAAAAAAATGTCCGGTCGCACTGGTGCGACCAATCGTTCGAGGGGGAGGGGGAGAGGTCGCCCGTTGAAAGTTTCCGTGTTCCATAAAAAAATGAATCCAGCAGTATCAACAGTCGCCCACTGACACAGWCTCCATCTCTCCTAATACAGCACTCTGCTCGCAAGCTCTGCTCCACACCTCCCGCGAGCGCACAAACACATTTGTTGTTCTATCCTCCTCACGGGGACTTTGCATTGGCTTCCATTCATTTCACAGTCAGTTCTATAGCCAACCACAACCTCCCAGGTAGGCTACACACCTGACCCAAACCCTAGCCTTGCCTGGCTTTGTGTACCAGGGAAATGGTCAATAACTGTACCCATCATGAAGCAAAAACCTGAACACACGAGCGCATGCACGCATATCGAAACAACCGTTTTATTTTATTTTTTTTCCCCAGATCAGAGTCTGAAAAACATTTTTTTCTTGTTAACTGTGGAGATGAAAAGATGGGGACGGTTGCTCACTCTTAAGTCCATGTTGCTAATTTAACAGTCGGGGTCTGAGCGCAGCAGATCATTTCAGCAGGACGAGGAAGTTCACGGGTATGGCAGGCTGCTGTTGCACTTAATCAGTTTCACCACAGTTACATTCCAAGTATCTGAAATTGGTTTTTTTGGGGTCTCAGGAGGATAAAACTAGACATATTAGATATTTAATTGAAATAATATAAGATAATAAGATTCAACTAATCCTGAAATTGCAGACTTTTATGTGTTATTATTTAAAAAAACCGCACAAACTTTTAATAAATATCAGTAATATTTCTGTTATTAATAGGGCTGTGTATTGGCAAGA